AGAAGAAATTCAGAGAAAACTAAATTGAGGGATGTTCTGCTAAGCAATTTATGTGGATTCTGACAAAACTTCAATGCCATAAAAAACTCAGGGGAAAAAAAAAAGCAAGGAAATGCTCTAGATTAAAGTAAATAAAGAGACGTGGCAACTAAGTGTGACCAAAAAAAAAAAAAATTAGAGAGAGAGGGGAAAAAAGCAACTATGAAAAAAATATTGTTGGGACAATTGTGAATATTTGGATGTGGACAAGTATCAGTGTGCATCAAATTTACATCATGATTTTACAGAAGAATGTTCTTGTTCAAAGATACATGCTGAATGGGTTAGGGATGAAATAACACCATGTCTGCAACATTTCTCAAAAAATTCATATGCAAAAAAGATTACCTGTATGTTTGCATAAATGTTCATGTGCATGTACACTATATTTTGAGATAAGTCCCAGAAGAAAGGCCTGGTGATCTCTTCTAAAATATCAGCCACTGAAAACCTTATGGAGCACAGTTCTACTCTGACATACATGGGACAGTGATGACCAGGAATGAATTCTACACCAACTAGTGGTAGTATTTATATATACCACAGCTGGCGGTTCAAACCCACCAGCCACTCCTCGGAAGGAAGATTGGGCAATCTACTTCTATAGTGATACCACCTTGGAAACCCAAGGAGGGGTTGCTATGAGTTGGATCCGACACCACGGCAGTTTTTTTTAAAAAAAAAAAAAAAATATATATATATATATACACCACACTCACAAGCACACATACAGGAAACAAATATTGCAAAATGTTAACTGCTAAAGTGAAGGGTATACATATGTTCACTGTACTTGTCAACCCTTCTGAAGATTTGAAGTAATTTTTATAGTAAAAAGATAAAAAGTATAGATATTGTGATAGTGTTTCAGTAAAATAAATATAGTTTATTACACAAATATACATATAAGTGCATGGAAAAGACAAACCAGTTATAGTAATAACAATAGTAGTTCTGGTGGTAGAATCAAAGGTAATTAATTCTGCGGTTTTTCTAGATAACCTGCAATTAATATTTACGACCTAGAGTGCAGTGATTAAAGCACTCAGCCACTGACTCAGTGGTTCAAACTCACCAGCCACTCTGTAGTCTGCTTCTGTAAAGATTTACAGCCTTTGAAACACTATGGAGTTTCTGTCCCACAGGATTGCTATGAGTCTTGATGGCAATGAATTTGGTTTTGGTATATATGATAAAAGTTTTTAAAAATTAAGTGTTGTCCTAGAATTTTTAAAGAAAAAGACTTAAGTTATATTAATTTTCATGTTAAATGAACAAAAACAAAGCAAGAGAGTAGGTGGGAATATAGTATTTGGCAAGAGTTTGGGAATGAGCGATCTCATACATTGGTAGTAGATGTATAAATTGATAGGTTTGTGGAAAGTAATGCAAGTAAATAAAATTAAGATTGCATCATTTGTCTATTATCACATCTAAAGGCTGGAATGAGAGGAGCACTTCAAAGGTATAGGGAACCGCTGTTCAAAGCAGTGCAAACTGAACTAAGATGAGAGGGAATGTAGACACCATCACCACCACCACCACCACCCAGTCAAAAAATATGGTCACCAAGTCCAAGGCCAAGTAAACCACAAGGCAATGATTTGAGATTTATTATATTTTGTATGGGTAACTTACCCATAAGGAGGTCAGATTAACTGGTAACACACGTCAAAAAGAAAAAATGCTTGACCCTTTTAATGCACTAATTCTACTTCTAGAAATACAGCTTAAGGAAATCAGAGATGCACACCAAGATTATACACCATGATTCTTTAGTTTACAATGTTATCTGTAATAGTAAAAAATGGGATCTAAATGCTCAAAATAGAAAGTTGTTAAATAAATGATAGCGTATTTATATGACAGCATATAATGTCCACTGAAAACTATGTTCTCAAAAATATTTATGATTGTGGGGAATGGTTTCAATTTATTAAATGAAAAGATAGCAAAGTATAAAAAAAGATAGAAAGTATAAATCAGGATATAATGAGGGTCTGAACTCAATTTTGTTGGATAAAATACATATATGTGCATATAAAAAACAATGGAAGGATGTTCAGAAACAGTAAAACTATGGATGATACTAATTTTCCTCTTTAGGATTTCTTTCCTGCAGTTTTCATTCTTTTATTTTAAATAATGAACATGTTAGTTATGTAATTAGAAAAAATTAATGTATCTGAATAGAATGAAATAGCTTTTTTTTTTTTTTACTAAGGAAAAGTACATTTTAAATTGTAAAATGATATGCAATCACTGCAATCTTTCCTAGATAGTCAATAAATACTTCAAAATTAATAACTAAATGAAAAATTCCACATTTTTCTTACTTTTACTCCAAATTTTAAGTGCACTGTGAGTTTAGGAATGGGGATATATATTCTACAATAGCTATTCCACTGTGGGAGACTAGAGTACAAGGAAATCTCATCAGGATTTAGTTTACCTTTCATTCTGTTAATTAGGCTTCCCTAATCATAATTAAGAGAGCCCTGGCTGTGCAGTGGTTAAGTACATGGGTGCTAACTGAAAGGTTGGTGGTTTGAATCCACCAAGTGGTTCTACAGGAGAAGGATGTGGCAGTCTGCTTTCGTAGAGACAGCAGCCCTGGAAACCCTATGGGGCAGTTCTACTCTGTCCTCTAGGGTCACTATGAGTCAGAATCGACTTGATGACAATGGGTGATTATAATTACATTGAAACTAAAGAGAGAAGAAAAGAATTTCAAAGATCAGCATACACCAAAAAGTGTAAAGCACTAAAACATTCTATTTGGCTAATGGTTCCCTCTGAAATTCTGAGCAGCTTGTTAGCCCTACATGTAGACAGGCTCATCTATAGAAATTCAGGACCAGAGTGATCCTGATCTGTCTGGTATCCAAGCTGCAGCTAAGTATTTAAAGCTGCAAGCTTAACTCTACTTCAACTTGCTGATTTTATACAGAGAAGAGAAAAAAAAGTTTTTGAGATGCTGAATGATGTACATTAATCAATGCCACAACTGGCATGGGTAACAGCTGTCAAAGCAAAAATACCCTTCTACTTACGTGGTTTCAGTAACTGGAATATACCAATAATGCTTGCATTGAGTTTTGGTTCCTACTCTACATCTCTAAACATGTGACTAATAGTAGGCAGGTAACAATGTCTCAATCTAGTCTTTTCCATAACATTAGAAGCATGGTACTTTCCTGTACTACCTCAGAGTTAATAAAAGGGTCAAATTAGACAACAGATTTTAAAAGGCATTAAAAAGAATGAGAAGTTTATGTTAGTAGAAATTATTAGCATTAATATTAGCATTATGTCAGGAAGAGAAGGCATAATATTTGGTTGATGGACAAGGCAAAGCAGATAAAAGAACAATTTGCCTCTTCCCATGCACAGATGTCCATAGTTCTTCATTTGTTTTATATTTGGCTATTCCACATTCATGTTTGAAAGTTTTGTTTTCAATTAAAATAACTGTTGATTTCCTTTTAATAATGCTTTTTAAAAAGCCCATCTGACATCAAAATATAAGACTTTTTTTTTTTTTTCCTTCCTTCTAGGGCAATGGTTTTTAACTTTTGTGCCTTCAGATCCCTCCTAGAAGAAAACTATGAACTCATTCCTCAAAAAATGTGTGAGAACGTATGTGGGCACACACACACACAGTCAACAAAAAACAAAACATTTTAAAAGTTAATGAACAAATATGGAGAAGTAGATACATTATATACATAATCTTTCAAAATCTTTTTTATATTCTTTTTATTTGTATCTGTTGATGTCTGCTGCAGTCCTAAAGATGAAGACTCAATTAGTTATGTTCTGTTTTCCTTCAAAGTAAAACCTTCCTGCAACACTGAGACAGAAGTGGACACACAGTTTGTGCTAAGGTCAAAAAAAATAAACTAATTATGCTATAGCTTGCCTAAGTGAGGAATGTAGTTTTTTTTTTTTTTTTTCTATTTTGGAGTTTTACTTTGGCCCTTTTTGAGGACACTCTATAGAACCTTCAAGGGCAACAAGCCATTAATATGACTGAGGGAAAGGCAGTCTAAATTGCTGCAATATTTGAACTGTTAAATAATAACTAAAAAGAAAGTTCTATTATTGTCTACTATGGATTGCTTACTAAAGATTTAGTGACTATTTAAAAATGCAATATAATTAGTACATTCACTCAGCAAACATTTCAGCAGCTCTGGCACTGTGGGGGATAGCATTAGGGTGAAATCACATTGCTGCTTTAAAGGAGCTAGCAGTTTTAGGAGGAGAAATGGTCACTATAGAAATAACCACATTCATGGTCTCATAAGAATGATACAAATAAAACTGTATGAAGTTCAGAGAAAGGAGTTTTTTTTTTAAATGAGGTAGAACAGGTGTTGTACTTGTGTGTGTGTTGTTGAAGGCTTCCTGAAGATTATAGGAAATTAGGAACACCTCTCCCCCTCAAAAAATACGTAGTCTCTCTAAAGACATATGTGACATGCAGAAGTTCTTATGGGGAAAATAACATGTTTCAAACTTACTTAAAATTCTAATTTGTTTGGAAAAAAAACTGTTACCCACCAAGAGTAAAAAGTTTATTTTAGATTAAGAGCCTGGTCTGTTTGTCCCCTTTATTTATGCACTGTTCAGTGTGGTAATACTATAATCACATAATGGAGAAAGAATGTTTCAGCTACTTACTCATTTAACCTCACTGGCAATATCAATTTACCTTGGTTTCTAGCAATGGGTATTTTTTAGCTTAGCGTGAGTTCACTTATGCTTTCACCAAGATCAAGATTATTATCATCTTTATATTTCAGCTTTTCTGAATATGCTATCCCAAGCCATATTTCATTTTTTGTTTCTACTTTGGCCATTCTCTTCTTCAGAGTAACTGTTGACAATTCAACCTTAATTGTAACCTCTTTAGGGATAATTAAAGCATTCTATTTCTTTTTTCCTTCTGTTCTTACTTGTGCAGTATCTGCATGTTCCAGCATCTCTTCAAATTCCTGATATTCTTCATCATCTGGTTCAGCACCTGAGAGACGAGCCGCCCTTGCCATGAAATACGGTGGCAGCTCTCCGATTGCTGTTCCAATACCCTAAAATGTGAAAAATGAAAAGTATTCTAACGAAGTTCTCTTCTCAACACAGTGCCACATACAGATCAAATCTAAACTTTTCTATATCATCAAAAGCATTCTGAGATGCAATGTCTTGGGGCTAAGCGTGTGTTATATAACCAGAAGGATCTGAGTTTGAACCGGAGCCTGATCTGTGCAATACCAGGTATGAAAATTCACACATAAGTCTTAGAAAATCCTTTGGTGTGCTGCAGACACTAAATTAATTTTTCTTCCCTAGCCTCTTAGTTCAGAAATAGTAATGAGTAAATCTAGATAATAATTATTTTTTTAAACAATTTTATGATATATTTATTTCTCATTTTTCACGACTGAAGTGAACATTTCTACTTATAATAACATTTTTTGTCAGTTTTTATTTCTCTCCTTTTCTAATATTCAAATCCTCTAGTAATGAGAATTTACCAGTGGATCTGTTAGATAAATATACCCACTATCGACATAGTTTTCAAAGACCAGGACATACGTGAAAATCAGTATCAGGTAAAAATGGAGGATGACCATATCAGATAAAGAAATGGAGGATGACTACATCATTATATAACTGCCAAATTATATTATCACATCAGTGCCAAACCACTAAGATCATGCCCAGCCACGATAAATAACCTTAACCATCAAAGCCAGTGTTACTCTGGCCTCACCCCTCGGTGTTTGTTATTGCCAGACATATGCTGTTGCTGTGTAAACAGTCTGATAGTAGATTGTTATTTTACTGTTGTTGTAAATGGGAAATGTCAGATAACAAAACAGTTAGTAAGTACGGAGCAAGTGCGTTTTCTATGAAATCTGGCATTTCAGATGTCACTTTAACGCCAATACAACTTCGTTTGGTACAATGAAAACTTTTAAAAAATTGTGGTCAGGAAGCTCCTTGAAACGCACCATAAGGATGGATAAATGTTCACTACAGGAAAAACATTTATTTCCTCAGGACTCATGACTCAATCGCTTTGCGAACTTTTGTTTTTGAAGAAAATTTTGTTTTGTTTTGTTTTTTCAATCAACTTAGCACATAGAAATGAAACATACGTTTATGAACCAGGAATCTGGTTTTGACCTAAGTTTAAGTGGCTTAAATACAGGATAGGTAATAATGCAGTACGCATATAGTCTCCAGGGAAATTCTCAACTTTGGGCCATTCACACATCTTTTCCCACTCTGAGTAATAGTGAATGAAAAACTTCCATAGTTCTTGGAAGCAACTTCAAGCCTTCCAGTTTGCTGTGTCCTGGGGCACTGCCTCCAGCGCCTTGAAAATAAACCTAAGCAGAAAGATCAAATTCAAACATTCTGTGATCACCAATCACCAAATGCCAATGTGCAAAAACAACTATTTCCAAGTGCAACTACATTACCCACATGTGAAACAAGAGTTCTGAAAAAGAACTGCCTTAAGTGCCAAAATAAGATTATACTTCATTAGTAAAAGGATGAGGGGAGAGATACACACAGAAGGATATAGGAATAAAACACAAAATAAGATTTTGCTAATTAAGAATAGTTAAAGTTGGTCAACTTCAGAGGATGCTAAGGAATCAACTCATTATTTAAAAAACCTGGTAAATAAAGTCAAAGACATAATTTATCAGGAAAATTTGAAAACTAGATGACTAATTTTAAGAAACTTTTGTTAATTTCTTTTAGCTGTGATAATGGTACTGTTAAACTGAGATATCTACAGATGAAATGTGATATTGTAATTGGGAGTTCCTTTAAAGTAATGGAGAGTAGGGAGGGATATAGATTAAACAGTATTAACCATGAGTTAGTATTACACGAAGTGGAATGAAAATATATTGAACTTTTAGATATGTTTGAAATTAAAAAAAAAAAAAATTGCCATGTGGTAGTTAAGGTTATGTGTCAACTTGGTTGGGCCTGTTTTTGAGTGGCTGGGGAGCTGAATGTAGTTATTCCTTGTAATGAGATGGGTAATCAAGTTCATGGTGGAATCTACTACGAATAGGTGAGTAGCATCCTTAGGGATGTGGTGTGCTTCCAGTATACAAGAAGCAGCCTGAGGAAGGTCTCTAGCTTTTGGCACATCTGGCTCCTGCATTTGGCTGAGTCTTCATCTCAGTGACCTGCCATGTTGTCTGCCAATCTTGAGACTGTTTCTGGACTTGAACTAGTGACCTGCCACATTGCTTAATAACTTTGGGACTGCGCCATTTCACCTGACGACCTTGGGTGTGTCAGCCTCAGCAGCCAGCAGGTGTCTAAGTTAAGAGAAGACTCCAGCTTCAATGGGCCAAGAACAAGAGGCAGAGACTAAGCCTAAAGTCGAGGGGCTTTTACCCATCCCCTAGAGCTGGCTCTTTGAAATTGGACTTCTAGCCTCCTAAAGAATAAATCCCTGTTTGTTTAAATCATTCACCTGTGGTATGTCTGTTATAGTGGCACTAGAGAACCAAAACACCACATTTTATTCAAAATATGATCTTCCCTTAAAACCTGTTAGGTCAGTTTTCAATAGTTCTGAAAACAATCAGAAGATTCAAACTCATGACAAGTTTCCTTATAGTAAAAGGAAGTATTAAGAGAACTAACATGAAAACCAGAGATTATACTCACACTTAGATACCACATTTATTATATTAATTATACTCATGTTTTCCCATAGTAACACGGAACAAGAATGGTGATCATGAGTCAGTACTCTTTTTATGCAAATAAATTAAAAGGAAATACAGTCACAAAGGAAAAACACATCATATCCTAGACACAGAAATGCATATCCTAGACATAGTTATCTAAAATTAGATACTGAAGTCTCATAATCTCCTAATTCTTACAATTCCATAATTCTTATGAAACCACAAAAAGCTGTGGAACACTAAATACTGTGAACCTCAAGGGGAGAGACTAACTGGCTTTCTTACTGTAAAAGAAACCTAATAAATCAAAATCAGAAAGCTCTTCTAAAAACCATCTACTACACACCAATTTATTACCCTGAATTATTATGACTGCAGAAGAGTATAATATGCACAAAATATGCAAAGCCAAGAGATAAATACAGTTTCTTCCTGAAGTGCTAATTTTACTCAAAGATTACTGGTGAGAGAAACCCTAAATTTCTGTGCTTTTAAGAAGTTTTTTCAAGTAGGTTCACAAGCAAATGAGAAGCCTCTTGTTTTTCTATGTTGGGAAGTTTATGTTTAATGGTGAAAATTTAGAGAAAAGAAATTTTTATATATGCTATTCAGAAAAGCTGGTAGTTTTAATACAATTTATTAATTGTTATAATCCTCTTAAAAAATAAAATCATTTTTCTACTAAATTTTCCAACTAGAAGCACTGGTGATATAGCCAAATTATACAGATGTTCAAAAACACAAACTGAAAAAGATTCCCTACTGACTAACCACATCAAACAATCCAGTTTAATGTGCTCCAAAGACTTGTATGAACAAGATGAGACACACAGATTGGCCCTGGTCTTCATCTTGTAATTGGAAGAACCATGTATGTTAATGATTTTACCGACTCAATATATGTTAAAAAGATGTTAGTTTTTTATCAAGTGAGATATTATTTGGGGAAGTAGGGGAGAATATGGATGTGTAACCAAATGAGATCAATTCTATGAAAGGTTAAACTATAAAAGAATCAAGGCCAGAGTATACTCTAAACATTTTTTCACCCTTGACACTACTGACATTTTGGGTGGAAAATTATTTGCTGTTCTATGCAATGCAAAACATTTAGCAGCATCCTACCCATCAGATGCCAGTAGCACACCCCTAGTTTTGACAACCAAAAGTGATTCTAGACATTGTCAAAATGTCCTTGGGGGGAGGTATGGGCAAAATTGTCTCCAGTTAAGAATCACTGCTCCACATGGGCAAACTGGCACCGAAACATTAATTACAATCATACTTTCATAAAAGATTTACCTCTAAATTTTCTCAGTGGGTTTAAGAGGGTGATAAAAATGATAATGTTTCCAAACTACTGTGTGGAAAACTGTTGCCCAGAGTTTTCATTTATTAGGTTGGGTTGTCAGAATACTGTGACACTAACAGAAATCACCTGGATGTTGAGCAAAGGCTACCTTTCAAAAATTCAACTCAATTTTCTGAAACAGAGTAAAATGAATCAATTCTGTTCATTAATAAAGGCTCACAAAAAAACATTCCCTTCGATGATGATTTAATAAACTTGATATATTTTGAAGCAGTTATGAATGATGCACTGCCTTAAGTCAATAAATTCATTTTTCATAGTAAATCTACCTGTGGACTATAGTCAATAGTTCATTACATCTCTATTATAACATTTACCCACAGAGTCCATACTTTTTCACTGATACATATCATTTAAAAGAAAGACAACCACAGGGGAAAAACTATAGAGAAAATAGATTCTTCTTTCTCTTCTACCATCAAAAAGTACAAAGAACTTCAGAGGGGGCTAAGTCTTATTTGATCACACCTGCTTGGGTAATCATGTACTTAAAAAAATATGTTCTCTTTAAGACCACTTCTTGGAAAACAAAGCTCTAAATATATATTCACCTATGATTTTGCTATATTAAATAAGTTACAAAAGAACAACTTAGTGGTGCAGCCAATGAATCAGTAAGATACTATTTTGTAACAGCAGACATGAGCCTGACATGCTCACTGGTTTCAAGGTGAAAGTGTTGAAGGAGTTCCTACAGGAGCACAGGAATCCAGTGGTTACACTCAGTTAGGCCTATATGTATGAGGTGCTCAAGCCCAGAGTCTTGAGCACTCTAGTGCATGCCTATTAGCAATGACTAGATGGCAATGCCACTAATAGTAGTATCTTTTACCACAAAGTTCAGGATAGCAAACACTTACTTTTGTGGTGATACAGCATAAAAATGCTGACCTCAAGCTAATTAAAGACGGAAAGCATTAAGAAGGGGAAATAGTAAACAACGAATCAGAACCTAGCAAGCTGTTTTACAGCTAAATCTCAAATGATGGATAGGATGCCTCCTTCCCCAGTAAGAAGAACTACAACAGAGTCATTGTTACAAATGGTGTCATATTGCTCAGTGTGTTAAGGCAGTAAATGTCCAGAACAATTAAAAGTATAACTTGATATATGCTACATTTTTTTTTTTCACATAAGAAAAAAAAGTTCCAAAGAAGTAAGCAAAAAGATAAACATCTGAACAATTAATCGGTATTGACATACATGTACTATATGTAAAGCCTTATTCTGAGTGCTGTGAGAACAATAAATTTAAGGTACAGTTTGCATTTTTAGGAGCTTAGAATTTATGTGAGGAAGTAAGCCATTACTCCAGCCAAGTCAATTTAAGGCATGTATGGAGCCAGGCCAAATGAGCACTATAGGCAATACGTACTATGAGAGTTTGGAGGAGGTAGCCATCACTACCAACTGGGCTGGAAGTTTTCCTTTACTGGCATTAGTGTTAATCCAACCATGTAAATAACTTTTGAAACAAAAGTATAATATTAAGAAAAACAGAAAACCAAAGTCTATATATATCATTTTGATGGAAACCCAAGGAGGGGTCGCTATGAGTCGGGGCCGACTCGACGGCAAAGAACAACAACAACAACAACAAATATATATAATCTCTAGCATGTTTCAAGTATCTTCTGTTATTCTAATAACAATTTCTCATCAAAAGACTACTGTGGTCAAATTTACAAAACATATGTAACTAGTACAATTAATTTGTTCCCAGTGTTTATAAAAGAGCAACAGGAAACATGACAATTTTTCATGTCTTTCACATTCAATGCAGTGGTTAAGGCATTTGCCTGCTAACCAAAAAGTTGGTAGTTCAAACCCACCAGCCACTCTGTAAGAGAAAGATGAAGCAGTCTGCTTCCATAAAGATTTATAGCCTTGGAAACCCTACGGGGCAGTTCTACTCTGTCCTATAGGGTCATTATGAATCAGAATCAACTCAATGGCAGTGGGTCTGGGTTTTGGTTTCACATTTAACAAGTTCGATGTATGACATTTCCCTTATAATTCTTTCAAAACAAAACGTAACTGCTAACAACTTAAATGTGTTTCAAACCTCTGTCTCTTCTGTGGGGATAGTATTTATGTTCATTTTAATTACTGCATTTTTACACAAATGATGCATGCTTTATAAGTTTGTTTTTTTTTTTGAAAACTACGCAACCTTCCTGTGCAGTAGGTAGTTTCCTATGTGTGCTATGTTCGTGTGTGTCATATGTGAAAAATATAGTAGCTAAGATTTTTAAGTGATCTGTCCCACATTCTTTATTCCCTAAGAAATGGCTAGGAAAAAAATACTTCAGGAAACACATAACTTAATGAACACACCAGACGAATTAAAAAATAATTCAAATGGTAATAGGAAGTCTTTAACAAATGAACTATTCCTCAATGATAGACACCTAAATTTAGGCATATAGCAATAATTAAAATGCTTTGCATGGACTAAAGTAATTCTACCGTTTATGTGAACATGTTGTCCAAAAAAACTTCACGAAGTAAACTTAAACAACACATGAAAAGAGTAACTGGTAAAACTGAAAGTAAGATCACCACATACAACTATATTGCCTGATACCTTCACTATAGTAAGACTGAAAAAATCCAAACTCACTGCCATTGAGTTGATTCTAACTTATAACAACTTTTGGGTTTCCGAGGCAGTAAATCTTTAGAGAAGTAGATTGCCCAGCCTTCCTTTCATGGAGTGGCTACTGGATTTGAACCGCCAACCTTCTGGTTAGCAGTCAAATGCCTTAGGCACTACACCACTATAACAAAGCTTGGTTTATTAAGAGATGCCTGACCTGAGTTTGTATTATGACAACCAAAACTCAAAACCCACTGCTGTCCGGTTTGTTGAAATTCGTACCGGACAGAGTAGAATTGCCCCATAGGGGTTCTAAAACTCTAAATCTTAATGCAAGACGACTGCCATATTTTTCTCTTGTAAAGGGGATGGTGGGCTTGAACTGCTGACCTTCTGGTTAGCATAGGAGCATTTTAACCACTGCATCAACAGGGCTCATCAGTATTATGACAAACAACTCAGAAAATGAAATGAGCTAAGAACAAAAACAGGGTATTTCAAACTAGGAGTGAGAAATATAATGTATTAGCACTTGCTAAATTTCTATCAAGGAGCCCTGGTAGCAAGTGGTTAAGCGCCTGGCTGCCTACCACCAGGGGCCCCTTGTAAAGCAAGATGTGGTAGTTTGCTTCCTTGTAAAGATTTATAGCTCTAGAAACTATGGGGCTGATCTCCTCTGTCCTAGAGTCGCATGAGTCTGAATCAGGGAAGGAAAAGGGTTTTTAAAGAGTTTATCAAGTATATAAACACCGGAACAAATGTTACACACTTTTACAGTTCCATTATCTATACTCCTTTTCCCTGTTGTTGTCTACTTGGCATAATGCTTCTGTGGTACCTAATTTTATGCCTTCCTTCTGAACACCAATCAGGAGAAGTTTCTTTTGCCTTTGAGACAGGTAGTTGATGGTGTCATGAATCGTGCATGTAGTCAACAATTCCTGACTAGGTATATGTTTGGATTCCATTTCAAAGTACAACAAAGTATCAAGATGGTGAGGTTAGTTTTAGACAAATATGAAAATGCACATCTTACCCACATGCAGGCCTCAATCCTAACTTTTGAGATGATGCTCCACAAAGAAATAGTCCCTTCAATGTTCTCTTCATCTGGACATATAATCTGATCAGGATAGGGTGGTTCAGGGAAATTAACTGAATTACATTCATAAGCAGCTAATGTAACTGAAGCTATATGTGGACCCTAAGAAACAAATATAAGAAAACGGATTAGAAATATTAAAGAACAAAAAGGAATTATTAATATATATATTATTTTAATGATACCCTGATCACTATATATTTCAAAGCAACTTCCTATATCTCTATTCCTTTAGGCACAATTTGAGAATACCACTCTTCTTCCTTAAAATGCTTGGTGAAGTAACTGGCTCACTCACCTTCCCAGTGTGCTAAAATAAAAATAAAACTATGGAACCAGCATCAGTGAGTTTTTCTATAGAAACTTTTATGTTACTTTGTATTTTCATTTTAAAATACTATACATTAAAATGGATTAATATTTAGATGTGTGATAAAGACTTAAGCACAGTGGTTCCCCAAAACACATAAATACCAAGTGAAGTATCTGCCTAAGAATCACCTATGGACCTTGTTAAAAATATAAATTAATGGGGTCTTCCACCCATAGATTGAGTCAAAGATAGAGCTACAGATAGGGTGGGAGGGGAAGAGAAGGAAGGGAAAATAGATGTATAATTAAGAGATAGGTTAGATATGGGTGAAGGGATTTAAAAAATAAAGATTAGCCATTAGTTTACAACTTTTGACCCCACACAGGGGTTCATTGTACTAGTCTATGTTTCTGTCTGAAATATTAAAATAAATAAAAAGAACTGAAAGCCTGTATTTTTAAAAATACACTCTTTCAGAGATTCTAATAGATAGCTGGGCTTAGGAACCACTGGGGGAATAATAAGAGTCAGAAAAGTAGGTAAAGAATCAACCATGGACAAATCAGTTAATCTTTCTTGTCCTCTTTACTGTGCTTCAAGATAAAGGAGTCAGACTCATTTTTAAAGTTCTTCCATCTCTAAAATGCTACAATTCCAAATGTAATCAAATATGCCATTAAAATTGAATGCCAATTTCCAAAGTTCTCAGAAGGTACAAGATCTAGAAGTTAGACATTCTTAACATTTGCTACACCAAATACACTAGTATAAATATTCACTTTAAAGCATGCTTTAGACAAAATATATAGCATAGCTAAAAGCATAGTCTCTAAAGCAAGATGGTTGGATTCAAATTCTCTGCCACTTACCTTCCAAGTCTCTGTTACTTCATGTATAAAATGGGAACAATAAAAGAACTATGTCCTAGGCACCTAGGTCCTAGCCGTATAGTAGTTGTGAAGATTAATAAATCAATTCATGTAAAATACTCAGCTCAGAACAGTGCCCAGCATATAATAAACCCTAAAAAAGCCATTATGAAAAAGTGCATTTTTAGATATGTATGTATCAAATAAATAAAATTATATGGTATATACAAATGAAAAACTTCCAAAATAAGATATTAGTCATATTAATGTTTTTGACTTATTAAATATTTCTCCAGTAATTTTTCCTAAATGAGTTAGTCCTCAAGTACACTAATCTCCATATACAAGATTCTTTTAAAATTGCATTGTGAAAGAATTTGTGGTTCATAGACAACGCTTAAGATGCAGTGATAAAACTAAAACACTGAAGAATTCCCACTGCTACCAAGATAAAAGATCATATAAAACAAACGTGTTTTATATCATTGTTGTTGTTGTTGTTGTTGTTATGTGCCGTCGAGTCGGCCCCGACTCATAGTGACCCCTCCTTGGGTTTCCGAGGCAGTATCACTACAGAAGTAGGATTGCTCAACCCTCCTTCCTACGAGTGGCTGGTGGGTTTGAACCGCCAGCCTTCTGGTTAGCAGTCAAGTGCTTTAGCCACTATGCTACCAGAGCTCCCGTTTTATATCATATTTATATGAAAAATCTTCATAATCAAAGTCACATTTCTCCCTAAATATAATGCATTTTATTTTAAAATAAAATCTAAAAATTAAAGTCCTACACTTAATACTGAATCAATTAATAACTAGGTTATTTCTGGACCAGAGAATCATTATGAACATTTAGTCTTTGTCCCTCTTTTTCTTGAGTTTTAATTCTTGAAAATCTATAAATGTTAACATTTAAGTGTTAAAAATTTATAAAAGGAGAATGCTTATGATTGTTTAGGGTTTCTTAAAGTTATGATTAATCATGAAATCTACAATTGTTTCTCTGAATACTATGTGCATAAAAGAGTACACAATTGGGAGGGGATTATTTTGCATCCTACAAAAAAATAATGTGAATTTAAAGTCTGTGGTAGAATATTAAAAAATTTCTCACCACACAATGTCAGCTCTCAGAATCATCTTAAAAAAAAGGTAACTTCCACACTTATTAGAAAATGAAAGAGAAAAGTGATACCAACGAATGGTAAGTTTAAAAAAAAAAAAAAAAAGAATTCAGAGTTTGTCCCTGTAGGCTACAGGCACATTCTACAGCTGACCTACAGTAGAACTTCAGAAATTAACTAAGTGACCAAAAACCCAACTGTCCTGGATGTCGAAATAATTAGATTTCTGGGATATAGAAAAATATATACTCCAACAGATTAAACCATTATCCAGCAAGATAAAAGATTATGTATAGTTTTAATTTTAACTAATTCTTAAAAGAGAAATTTTAAGCAACCTGATTTGAGAAATTTTTTCCTTAAAGAAAGGTCTGTCCATTCACACAATTAAATTATACTTTTCACAACCTTACTAAGTCATGATTTCTCAGCCTTAGAGGCAGATGGGTGGTTCCCAGACAACATGAACATTAACAACTCAGCTTTTCTTGTCCTTTGTTCATTCTCAAGAGCCCATTTAGCCTGTACCTTGAAATTTAAACTCGCAGGAAATACTTCAGAAGTTCAACATTATACCTTAATGTTTCTCCTAAACACAGTCAACTTATAAATTTACATAAAAATATATATTAAATTGTATATCAAATTACATTAATATATATGTAAATACATATATAAATTTACACAAAAAATCCAAACCCCAAATCTAAAAAACAATTTAAAAAAATACTTTAAAATTACATATATTCAAAACTACCTTCTAAGTGTATTTTCTAAAAATTGCAAGTTGCAGAAGGATTTACTAAAGTTGCAGGAGGATTTACTAAATATGAGACAGCAACAATTTAACTATACCAAATGAAGAAACAAGAAAGTAAAGGCAAATAGCTATAGTATAAACATAAAAGGTTAACTGGCTAGAATAATCATACAGGGTTTTTTGATTAAATCACAGGAAGAAATAACATATTCTGAACAGCAGGTTTGACCTCTCACTGCAGATACAGATCTGTATGAGCAAGGGATCCTGGCTAAGGGTTTTCTGTCAAAGATCATGATGAAGTAATTAGTACCATACTTCCACTCCTACAGAAACCAATTAGAAAAGTGGACAAAATATATGCAACAATTCTCTTCACACGTACCACATGCAGTACAGAACTTTTTGACTGTTGAGAGAAGGGATACAAATGAGGAAACCTTTGATGACCAAGGCTTTCTGCTCAGAGACACTAGAGACATTCCAGTAAACTGAAGGAGAGAGCACAGGTAGAGACAGGTGATCTTGTTAAGATAGAGATCTGAGTTCAGGGGAAATGAGGTAGTATTCAAATTAAAGTACACAAAGAGAAAAGGATGGGGAAGAAATGAACCTCTGTGACCTGTGGGACGATATTAATCAATCTAACATATATGTAACCAAGACCCCAGAGAAGAAGAAAAGAGGTGACAACAAAAATACTTGGGAGAGGAGGCGGGGCAAGATGGCGGACTAGGCAGAAGGATTGCACAGACCCTCTTCAACAAAGAAAAGGGAAACCAAT